TTGGTTATTTTTTAAGGAGCATCAAAAGGCAAAAGGATTAATAGGAAATATGATTATTGCTCTTGGATCGTACAAAAACGCTCGACGGGCCACGGGTTTTCCGGATCTGATTTATCATATTCTTTTTTTTAAATGTTAAAAAAAAAGATTTTGTACAGGTATGTATTAGAACTGAAAAACTTGAGGTCACATCATTTGCAAAGTTTCGATGCGAAGGTATACGTTATACAATGAAAATATTCTTCTTCAGAAGAAGTATAGGACCAAATGCTGCTTAATGTCTATCTGGGAGAAAGGAAAGGAAATTTTGGATCTCTCAAATTCCTGTTTGTGACTGTAGTTATAGAAGAATAAGGCTTAGGATATTTTCCAGACGTTCGACATATCTGCTACAGAAAGCGGCTCCGAAATTTATATCTGCAATGTTCAACTGACATTTTCCAGTCTTCTATCAAATATTGAAAACAATTAGATGAAAATATCGCATTTGTTATGATAACTCAGTTATTGAACCCAGCTGAAACTACTAACATTTTCCTTTGCTCTCTACTTAAAATGCAGCCTAGATTCCATCATGTCAATATATTCCACGTTCAGTTTACTTTAGCTTATCCGAATACCGCAAAGTCAATAGAATCATCTGTCTAAGTGGAGGAATGTCTTTGTGGAGCACTTTCTGAGGAAAACTAGTTTGTAGTTATGTTACATATGAAGATAAACACGACCGCCAATCAGCCAGCCCGTTCTTCTAGAGCTGAACCCAAACTAGGTCAAAATACTAGGACTCAACGTTCTTAAACATAAAACAAACCTGGTGTTGTAATTTATTGAACCTATTTCTGTTATTGTTACATTACTGATCCTTAATTCATACATATTGATTTCGTTTAGTAAAAAGCTTAAAAGACAAAAATTCTCATCATTTATGGTACATTAATTAAATTTTCAGAGAGCAAGAATCTTGAAAAATATCCGCATCCTAGACGAAAATCGAACACGATACTTTCCATTTGTCATTAAAGGTAAATCAATGACAAGTCAGTATGAGAGTGAATGATTATCAAAGAAGTCTTACAAATACAAAAATAATAAAGAATCGCCTTTAATTCAATCGCCATCTTGAATTATTCGAACAGAAAAATATTTTAATACTGTATTTTGGTAACAGTTAACCTTTCTAGTCTCAATTTGTTTTCCTACATCTTCTGTTTTTACGTTTTAATAACGTAAAGGCGGCTTTTAGAAAATTAACTATGTAAGAAACTTTGCAACTCTGTGAATCATAGTAGTCTTTTATTTGAATTAATGCTCTTGATTTGCTTGAAAAAACATGAAAAGATGCAATACATTTCTGCTAAGCCTGTTTTAAATAATTGTGAGTGAACTTTTGTGCCATAGAGAAATTCAAAACCTCCTTCATACAAATAGACATTTGTATGAAAAGTTTTAGCAGCTTTTTGTACCACTTCTTCGGACCTAAGAATTAGATAACTGATTAGAAAAGGAAATATATAAAAAAAGTACAACTTCTAAGTTAACCGTCATCTATTAGATTTGGTGATTTATTTAATCTTGTGATAAATCCATTTGCTGTCTCACTTAAAGCTGATATAAATAAAGATAGGAATCTGATATAAAAATTAAATATATATTTCAGGTCATAAGAAGTAACTATGTTTAAGTAACCCACCACCCAGACGGTATAGTGGTTAAAGGAGTCGGCTGCAATACCGAAGGGCTGAGGTCCGAATCCCGAATGGATGTAATACGTCTGTTTCCTCATAAGAGGTAACGGTGGCTGCCTCTTAATTGCCTCCATAATAAAATGACCACCACTTTTGGCCTAGTAGTTGGCTTAGTAGTGGCAAAAGCCTAAAAATGGGTAGTGCTAGCTGTTAAAAAAAGTTAAGTAACCATATTTAAGGTTTGTTTGTTTATTAAGTTGTGGTAAAGTACTCGAGAGCTTTCTGTTAAGGTTAGGGATGCCCTCTTGGAGGACTTCCTGAGGGAAATTGGCTCAGATACACATGGGGAAAGCCACGAGAACGCCCATTCAGCCAGCCCGTTCGTCGAGATTCGAGCCCCAAACCTAACTACCAGTGTTCAGCGACTTTACTGCTTGGCCGCTTGTGGGTCTAGCCATATGAGTTTTAATAAGTTGTTTGAAGAGGTACTACTTAGAATTTTGTTTAAAGAAATTAACGAGTGCCTCACAATATGTTTCAAATCAGATGCGCAATACTGTGAGATTTATAAGGTTAATTCTTGAACTTGGCATGTATATTCCAGTTCTTGAATTCACACAAAAGCAAGATTCTGAGGAAGTTCTCTAAAAAAACTCATCACCCTACTAATGTTAAGATTCAAATGCTTTTTGCTGATAAATCAATTTCCAAATAGTTAAACGCCGGCAATTTTTTTTCCTTAAAGCTTTCGACACACAGTCACGTCGGAATATCGTTTAATGTACCTCATAGAGAACAAAAAGAGGAAGATGACGACGTTATGTATTGCTTACATAAATTGCTATATTTTATACTGTTGCGTAATAAGGAGACTTACCCCATGTATAAGGCTGCACGAAAGTCATTTCTAAAAGAGAATATCCGTGTTTTGGGATTTCTCTACTTCAGCCGCATACGCTGTATTTCTGAAATGGTGTAATAAACTGGAGGCATAGGAACTGTAGAGGAGTTTGTTTCACAAATTCGTACAGAGGGTTGTTCAGAAGTCATGATGCGACTAACTTCGGATAATCGTACTGCACTCTACAGCAAACGTGTTTTACACGGGATTGAACGAGCGCTAGTGTTGAGGCACAAACACAAGTAATAAGGCATGAAAGAAACCGGAAAATGCTTACTTGCACTGTCTTTGAAAAGTATTGCCTTATAGCAATGTGCTAAATTATTTCTCAAACCTGCGCCCACCAATAATAATAATAAGTGTTTGATAGCATTGATGGAGTGACTAGCTTGGAGTCCTGTTGCCCGCAGAGGGCAGGAAGTGGATTGCAGCTCGTCAGCATTATGCATCTGGGAAAACAAGCCACTGACGACTGTGTTATCACCCGTAATGAGAGACTTTGCGGGTGCCGAGAAGGTAGAAATGCATTTAATGTACAGGGCTGTAAATGGTAATGACAGAGGAGAGTTAGGCATATTAGGAATACTATTCCAACAGATGAATACCTAATCACAAATTGTATGAGTAGTTACACTGCCAACTTTGGAAAACTATTTTCTTCGCCAAGCAAGCAGGAAACGCGTTAGCGAAAAGTTGCATGATGTCCAAACGTAGACGAGTTCACTTTAGACTTTGCGAAAGACAGACTATGCTCAAGTACCACAGCTACTGCACGTCACGTAGATGCAAGTCGATCGCCGTTTAGAGAATTTTTAACAAAGAATAACTGGGCACATTTAATTTTCGGGTAATTCAAGCTTTAAAACTCTAAGTGCATTATTTTGTCACTAGCTTTTTAGCACAGTGTATTGCAGCCGAACTGTTCACCTTATATACATTATTCATAGATGAATTTCACACACAAAAGTGTTTTCAGTGTGCACAGTTATCTGTCAGCAGCCTTAAAACAACGAGCTACACGTCCACATGTATTTCAGGAATGATTCTTCTTAAATTGTAAATGTGTGGGCAAGTAGTGTAAATGACCTCTTGAATAGCATATATCTGCTACAATACGAATCAATGGCAGATGTTATTGCATATTTCTGGAAGATGTTTTAGCAGAACTGTTTCAAAACGTTTCTTTGTCTTTCGTAATCGACTGTGGTTTCGGCACGACAGTTCATTTGCGCACTGATGTGTGTAATTTCCTGGATGCCACTTCTGGAGCACGAAGAATTCAACGTTTATGTACCAGCACATTGGCAACCCCGATCACCCAATGTTTCGAACTTTTACATGAATCCAGTTGATTCTGTTGAGAACCTTTCTGTTCGAATAGCCATTGGCATTACGAAGCACTTCTCAACGATACTGCAAGTAAAAGTGTTTCCTTTCATGTTTATGCATTGATTTAATACCTCACCGTGTAATTTGCCTCTACATTTTCTTATATAAAATGTTTGTTTAGTATATTCTTCTACTCTTAAATTTTGTCCCATGAACTCTGAAACATCCTACAGAATTTTCTTGAGAAATTGATTTTGCAGTTATACATATATTTATTTACATGAAGAGAGTTAAAAGCAAGACGAAATCCCAGTAAAATTCTGGAAAGTCATTGTCAGTTAATCATAGTTTGAGATCAAAAGATGTCAAATGGTAGCACATAAATTACGTCTTTCAGAAGTCTTTCCGTAAGTATTCAGTTTATGTAGAGATAAAATCTAGAATTCGTACACGAAAATTAATAGCAGAGATAGATTTCGCTGATGAAATCCTCTTGATGGACGATAATGCATGACTTGATTTAACTTGCTCACATCTAAGTGTTGGAAATTTGAAAGTACACAGAAGATAGCCTGACTTACCTACTCACAGGACTTACCACTCATACCTGCGATGTAACATGTGTAGCTCAGCTTTGGGGATAACATTTCAAACTTCAAACTTTTCCTAGAATACTCCTTGATTTAATAACTGCAATTAAAGAACAGCGGAACTTTCTTCTGAATTTCTACAAAACTTTTATGAACCTCACGCGCAACTTGAAACTGTCAATTATCGTTTCCGATATGGTAAATTATACAGTTTATATTTTTGCTTTCGTCCTCGCAATTATTAGTATTACAATTATTTAGCATCTCTTTTTTATTGTTTAACATTTCATTAAGTTTGAAATTGTGCAGCAATTATTTTTGCACTATGTAAGTTATGAAAGTATAAAGAGTTATAAAATGCTATACTTCTATCTGGAGAGAAATAAGAGTATCCCTTTAATTTTTTTCACGAGTGTAATTTTCACACTTTGAATCAAGAATAAGAAAGTTAAAAAATTTTAAACAAAATTGTCAACACAATAAAAATGACAATACCTCTATGACCCCTCCACCTTTGCTCTTGTCTGACAAACACAAAAAATCTTCAGGTAGCCCGATCATTTTACCTGTAAAATACCGTTTTTTGGTAAACATATTTAGGAGTGTGATTTTTTGTGCAATAAAAACTCACAAGTTTCTGACATATGTACTTTATTTAGTACATTTTAAAATCAATAATTACCATGAAAATACAAAATAAAAATAAGCTATAAGAAAAAAATGGAAAGTAATTTAAAATTATAAAATATTAATAATTAACTGTGCTGAGAGATTCAGTTAATGCTTACCTAAGTCATTTTAGTACATCGAATTACATGTGTATGCATACATTTCGTGCATACATACATATGAAATTATACATGCATACATTTCGATGTGTCAGTAAACTAAAAGGGTTCATTGTGTGATGATTTTACCAATACTCGCTCACGATAATCATTAATTCACTCAAGAGTTACATGCATTCTGAATAACTGAATTCATGTATATGAAGTATTTTCAGTTTTGTTCGTCGACAAATATACCGCACAGGTTTTGCTTTTTCAAGTAATTCAATTGGTTCTGGATTCTTGTTTGATAATTATAAACAATTACTGGTATAAAAGTTTTACTTTTCATACTATCTTGTAAATTTCATCTGAACATTCGGCTTCTGTGCGTTACTTACAACCTTTAAAAAAATATATTTATTCCAGCTGGTAGCAAATTAAACACAAAAATGTAAGCTCTAAATGAAAGATAGAAAATCATTTTGCAATCGTTATGTTAGAAATTCGTTATACAGCTGTTATACCTATCTAAAATTTTAAGTGCTGTCATACTATGACAGAAAAGGATTTTCAAAACATAGAAACGAAATGTCAGTTCTTCGTAAAATATTCTTTACGTCTGTGCATTTCCTTCAGTCCAAAAAAGCTTGAAAAATTGCAAGAAAAACGTTTAAGCTATTAAGATGCATAGAATAAGATTCTTTACCTCGCTCAATTTAAGCATAAAAATTTAATCTCTAACTAAACAACGAAGCTAGATATCTGAATTAAATAACAATAGGGTTGTAAAGTCGTAGGTTATTTTGAAGAAAGAGACGTGAGAGGATATACCCTCGCCGGGACTCGAACACGGGACCCCAAGAATACGAGTCTAGTATGCTTCCAATTACACCCCGAAAGGCATGTGGAAAGAAGAGAGAAAATACCTTATATAATGACTCATAATATATCTACCAATTTGAGTTTGCATGTCTGCCAGAATGAAGGCACCCATGTATGGCATACTTACATACGTGATGAGTTACAAGTCAGGCAGTTAGTAAACTAAAGGACCAGTGGTCTGCCTCCCAGACGGGAAAGTAGTTAGCGACGCTGACTACTATACCGAAGAGCTTGGGTTCAAATCCCAGATATAGCGTGGGTGTTTGTAAGTGTATAGTAGCTGTGCATCATGGGAGCACTCAAAAATATGTTGCGAGCCGAAAGTCCTCTCGAGGAGTTGGTGATTGTGAAGAGGAGGGATGGGAGACCCTCGTATCCGCCCCACCGGGCTGCTCTCTTTCAAAACTGGGGCGAAGTGAGCATAAGACTGAATGTCATCTGTATGGTGGTCCCTTAAGGCAGATAGCCCTCGAGTGCTTTGCCGTAATCTAATAAACCAAACCAAACCATCTGTATGGTGGTCAGTTTTCTGGCTAACGACAGACTTATTCCTTGGCACGAAAATAATTCGTAGACTTGATATGATTATATCAGACAGGTAACATCAATAATAACAACAACAGACCAGTGGTTTCAAACTGACGCCTCTGAAGCAAATTTATACAGCCCACGAATATATTTCAATTATGTATTTGTTGCTAACGCGGTGTTACAAAGATGTCAAGAATTTAGTTATTTGAAGTCCGAGTTTACATTACCTTCATTACCATTAGAAACGAAGATAAATAAAGCGTCCGAAAAGTCTATAAATCGAGCTAATTATTTTACAATCTGATAGTGAATATCATTCAAAGATCTGAAGATGCAAATTTTATTAACTTGCATTCATACTTGTCAAAAAAACGTGGTTATAAATTTTTACTCTAAGAATAATCGCTTCATTTGGTAATAAGACAATAGCCTTCTTTACAACTGAAAATTATTAAAAAAAAAGAACCCGATTGGACGATGACCATATAAAATCCGGGATAAAGGTAACTTCTAGTAACTTCTCTCTTAGGCAACAAATTTTATCGAAGTTTATTATTGTAGTAAAAGATAAAGTTGTCGTCATTTGTTCTCACATTTTGTTTCACTTGGAAAATTTTTCCTGAAAATTTAGAATATTTTTATAATTTAATTAATAATTATAAGGGACGTCAGTACCGAATGGGATGTTAGTCTTGAAACGGCATTTTGCGTCGAAACACTTAAATGCGTTGTGTCCCTTTGCAAACTGTTGCAAACAAATATTATCGCCTTCTATTATATTTAAAGAAATTAAATAATAAAGAATCTGCATAATTGTATGTATGTTTCTCGCACTGTGAAAAAACAACTGTACATAGAACTATCAAATTTTAAATAACGTTGTCCTTCATCCGAACACGGGCACCTGGAAGCCCGAATTTTAAATTTCGAATTTGTTTTATTATTTATTTTCTATTCGGTAAAACGTTAACGAATTTTTATTAACAAACTCAACAATTTCAAAGTCACCAGTGGCAACACTGTATGGAATAAACGGTTTTCTCCTCGAGCACGCGAGACTATCTATTGAAAATTCTAAAGATATGCCTTTTTTAAATATTTTTTATTTTGTGGCTGAATTAAATGTTATGTGGCGTAAGCGCCAAGAAGAAAATATTTAATAAATTAAACACACAAATTATTAATAACAAAAATACAAAAGCTTTTAAAGCCCTTTTAGTTACAAAACTGAACACTGATAAGAATAACTGAGTAAAGACTAAAAAGAAAAAATGTTTGCCAACACTCAACGCTGCATCGGGTGGTGGTGGTGGTGGTGGTGGTGGTAGTTGAGTTAATGGCGCATAGCCAGAAAGGTTATATGCGCCAAACACATGGTAGTTTATAAAAAGATAGATAAACTTTATAAAACAACAATTAGCTAAGTCATAAAATCTACATGAAATAATAAAATGGTGAACATTAAAAGGAGTAGGTATTAAAACTAAGCAAATGATATGTAACAAGCGATGAAACACATCAAAATTACACTGTAATAAAAGCTAAATTAAATTAAATAATAGAAACCTGTTTCTTTCAGGTATAGAAATAAATTATTAGTGGCCTCTTTCCCTATTAAACGGTCAAGAGGCAAGTAACACTCGTTAAAATGCTTTAGTCTTAGTCTATTAAAATTCGGACATTCTATTAAAAAATGATGAACAGATAAAATGCTATCACAGTAGGGACAAATTGGCTCACTCTCTGCTTTGAGAAGATTAATTGTGCGTGATTCTGGAGTGGCCGATTCTAATACGAGACAAGAGTACTTCTTCCCTTCGGTTTTGAGTACTTTCCCAAAATTGCACTCTAGGCTTCACACTTCTTAGCTTATTATTTAATTGTGCATCCCAGATTTCTTGCCATTTATCTAAAATTTTCTGCTTAATGATTTGGCTGATATCTCTGAGAGGAATGAGTTGACTAGATTCCTCGACAGCAACTTTGACTGTGATATCTGCCAACTCATTACCTTTTATTCCTACGTGTCCAGGAATCCAGCAGTAAAGAATTTCAAATCCACGATTACTTAGGATTTTATTAAACTTTAAAATTTCAACTATAAGTGGACTCTATGTGTCAGAGAATGTTTCTAAGGCCTTCAGAGCACTGAATGAGTCAGAATAGATAATAAACCTTCTTCGGCAACGTCTAGATATAGATAAAAAGGCATGATAAATTGCAGTCAGTTCGGATGTCAGGACTGAACAATTAAGAATAAGTCGTCTTCCCACCATATTATTTTCAATTACGAAAGACATTCCAACATGACCAATTGCTTTCGATCCATCTGTATATACAGGAATATAATGTAAATTTGTCTATGTTCTGAGAAAATTTGTTGGTCTGTGATCTCATTAGTACTTTTTTAACCAGATGGAAGAAAATATCAAGAAAGCGAATTTGTACATTTTCCCAAGGTGGTATTTCAAAATGCTTTGCTGGCTGGATGTTTAAGTCAACATGGAATATTTCTCAATTAATGAACGAACTCGTAAAGAGAAGGTAGGAATACAGGAGGGTCGTGCTTCAAATAAGAGGTCACTGTCATCAAGCAGAATTTTACAAAGATATTTCAGTTGTGATAAGACAGTGAAATGATAATGAAGGGACAATTGCTCGCGTCTTAGCTGGAGTGGTGGTTCATAACAGTCGACATAAAGGCTTTGAACTGGAGAAGTTCTGAAGGCTCCAGAACAAATCCGCAAGGCCTGGTAGTGAACAGGATCTAGCTTCAGTAAAGCGGAAGACCGTTCCGAGCCATATACAACCGAGCCATAGCTTCTAGAGCGTACATGCGAAGCATTGGTTCCCGCTCGGCACCCCAGGAGGTGTTCGCCAAGACTTTTAAAATATTCAGTGTTTTGAAAGACTTCTTCCTCGAGTAAAGGACATGGGGAAAGAAGGTCAACTTTCGGTCAAACATCACTCCTAAAAACTTGACTTCTGGTACGACAGGAATCAAAGAATCTTGAAAGTGAAGCTCCGGCTCGGGATGCATATTTCGCTTTCGGCAAAAGTGCATGCAGACATTTTTTTGCTTTGAAAAGATATACCCGTGTTTTTCTGACCATTTCTCAATTCTGTTAAGAGCGATCTGCAACTGTCAAAATCCGTAATAACGTGAATTCAGAACAAAAAAAATGAGAAATTTATATGCGTATTTATTCTATGATTAAATAATTTCTATGCGTATTGTTAACTCTTTCGGTACAGAAGGAGCTGACCGTGGTTATACATCCGTGGTACGAGAAACTTTCCACTAGAGTGGTTGCACTGTATGGCAGCGTAAGCCGCGAAAACATGTTTTGCGGCTTTCATATTTTTTCCTTTTAGATATGCAC